GAGGAGAAATAAATGGAGGTTTTAAGGCCTCGAAAAATGGATTCGGATTCTAAAACAACAAGATAACCCTTCGGGTCATCATATTCTTCACCTCTAAAATAAACGTTCGTCCTCGAATGGACATAGAAAAGTACTTGAGTCGGTGAAAAGATGGGGACTGCTTCGCATATCAGACTTGGACTCCCAGGTAGCAGTCTCAACAAGCTGACCTCTCCAATGCACACGAACCGAACGGTAACTCTTCGACCTCAACTGACGAACCTGTCGGTCTAGAATAGCTACTGGCTCCTCCTCATAGGTCAAATCCCTGTCCAATTGGACAGTGCTGAAGTCTAACACATGGGATAGATCGATGTGATACTTCCGAAGCATGGACACATGAAACACTTGATGCACAACTGATAAACCCGGCGGCAACACATGTTTGTAAGCCACCTCTCCCACTCGATCAAGGATCTCAAAAGGCCCAATAAACCTAGGGCTTAGCTTGCCCTTCTTCCCAAATCTCATCACGCCCTTCATGGGCAACACTCTCTCTCTGACCATGAATGCCACATCACGAACCTTATGGTCGGCATAACTCTTTTGCATGGACTGAGCTGTACGAGGCCTATCCTGAATAATATTAACCTTATCCAAGGCATCCTATACTAAATTTGTACCCAACAACCGATCCTCCCCTACTCAAACCACCCAATTGGTGATCGACGCCGTCTACCATATAATGCCTCATAGGGAGCTATCTGGATGCTCGACTGATAGCTGTTGTTGTATGAAAACTCCACTAACGACAAGCACTGATCCCAAGAACCTCCAAAGTCAATAACACAGGCGCAAAGCATATCCTCCAAAATCTGAATAGTACGCTCGAATTGTCCCTTCGTCTGAGGATGAAATGTTGTGCTCAACTCAGCATGCATACCTAACTCATGCTGTACTACCCTCCAGAAATGCAAGAAAAACTACGTACCTTGGTCAAAAATGATAGACACGGGCACACCATGAAGACAAATGATCTCCCGAATATAAATCTCAGCTAACCACTCCGAGGAATAGGAAACAGTCACTAGGAATGAAATGCGCTGACTTAGTCAGCCTATCAACAATAACCCATATGATAGGTTTTTCAATGTCTTTGACTTATGTTTTGATGATCTAACAAACTTTGTCAAGAACCAAATAGGGAACTTCATACTTGGGCTGTACTGCACGTTAATAGATTCCAGCTCAATGTGAACTACTATAGTTTCAGGGGATGGAGAACTAAACAATGGACCTGATACCCTTGTTGTTCCTTCATAGCAGTACGAGGTCAATGGGACACAGCTGGAAGACGTGACTGCCTATACTATTTCTGCATGCACTGCACTGCTTTTAATGCCCACTTATTCCTTGACCAACTAAAGTGCTTACATCATTTCAAGTGATGTCATCAAGGTGTATTAACAATGAGTTTGTATCAAAACATCACTTGAACATTTCAGTTTCTCATTCAAGCCTTTTGCAAAACAAAGAAATCAATTCTCACGAGCTTGAAGAACAAAGTTAAACTCTACTACGGACCAGTTCCTAAAGTTAGTATTTTGTTATCCTTAGTTGAGTTGTAACTTTGTGATTGTTCTTATTGTATCTTCTAAACTGCTTAGTTAGAAGCATTGATTAGGAATCCTTTTGTAAAGTTCGTAAACTCTCTAAGTTTATGTTGTGACTAGGTTTAGTCATAAGTTAAAGTCTTTGTCCCTAGAGAGTGACAAAGTGGCTTGTGGTGAGAGTATCACAAGTTAGTCAAAGTCTTTGTAACTAGAGAGTCACAAAGTGGCTTATGACGAGAGTGCCATAAGTTAGTTGAGTTGAATACTTTGTAATAGAGTTATTACAAAGTGGCCTGTAATAGGTGTTTACAAGTTAGTAAAGTTGAAAGCCTACATGTGTAGGTCATGGTTTTTGTCCCCTTGAGTTGGAATCTTTCCACGTAAAAATCCCTAGTCTCACTTACTCACAGTTTTACTAGCATTCTCAGCATAACCTCATACAAAGTAACAATTGGTATCAGAGCAGGTTCCTCATATCAGGCTAACACCTAGGAACGATCCTTATGGCTGCTCCAAATATTGAAGAAGGTCAATCTACATACCGACCACCTAGGTTCAATGGACAATACTATGGATGGTGGAAAACGAGAATCCATGATTTTATCATGGCTGAGGATTCTGAGTTATGGGATATTATATGTAATGATCCTTATGTTCCAACAAAGGTACTGGAAGAACTTCCATTTTCAATGTCAAAAACTAGCAAAAGAAACACCGACACAGATAGGAAAGTTGTGGAGAAGAATTTTCGTGCCAAGAAGATTCTTGTATATGGAATAGGACCTGAAGAATATAATAGAATCTCCGATTGCGATACTGCTAAGGAGATATGGGAAGCTTTGCAAATAGTTCATGAGGGAACCACCCAAATAAAATAGTCTAAGATCGATATGCTCTTTACCGAGTATGAACTCTTTAGGATGAAGGACAATGAATCTATTCAAGATATGCACACAAGATTCACTTCCATCATAAATGAGTTACACTCACTTGGTGAAACCATTCCTAGAAACAAGCTAGTGAGAAAAATCCTTAGTATTCTGCCTAGCCCTTGGGAAAGCAAGGTGAATGCTATTACTGAATCCAAGGACTTGCAGGAGCTGACCATAGAAGAGCTGGTTGGAAATCTGAAGACTTACGAGATGAAGAGAAAGATAGATAGTGAAAGAAGAGAACCAAAGAAAGAAAAGAATCTGGTACTCAAAGTTGACAGCAATGACTCAAGTGAGGAAGATAGTAACATGGCTTACTTAACCAAAAGATTTTAGAAGATGGTCATAAGAAATGGAGAAATGCTAAAAAGAGGTAGCTCCAGCAAACTAAAAAACTATGATATCTATCATAAGTGTGGAAAGCCCGGACACTTCATCAAAGACTGTCCTCTCTTGAAGCAAGAATTCTCCAAGAACAACCCTGAAAAGGCAGGTAAGAGGAACCTAGTTCCTTTCAAGGACATCAAAAGAAAGAGATCTGCTGACAATGTGATGAAACAGGCTCTTGCAACATGGGGAGATTCCTCTGGTGAATCTGAAGATGAAACTAATGCTGGTGATAGTTCCATGATGGAAGTTGAAGACGAGGAAAATGAATATGACTCAACTTTTTCTTTGATGGCCAAATCAGATGATGATGAAGACAGCGACAACAAGGAGGTAAATTTCAGGGATGTTCAAAGAAATCTGAAATCCTACTCTTCTAAGAAACTCATGTCTTTAGCTAGTGTATTAATTGATGCCTATCATAGTCTTGTGCAGGATAGGGATTCCTTGACCTTAGAACTAGGAGAAGCTGAACAAACTAGAGATGACTTAGTAGTTGTGGTTATTGACCATAAGGAAACTACTGAAAACTTCAAAGAAGAAAGAAATGATCTCTTGGTAGTAATTGCAGACCTAAGGGAAACAATAGAGAGATCAGAGACTAATTCAAAACCTGGAAATCCTGGAAAAAGAAAAGAGATAACTAGTGAGGAACACATTAGGGTTGAAAATGAGTTGAAAGCTGTGAGAACTAGGGTGTGTGTTGAAACTGAGAAAAACAAGCACCTCCAAACTGATCTGGAAAGAGTAAAAACTGATCTTGAAAAGTCCTTAAAGTGGACCTTGTCCTCAGAAGCTATTACTGCCATGTACACTAATAATGGTGGAAACAGGTAGGGAATAAGGTTCCAAAGGGAGAAAACTCCTTACAACCCTCACAGACAATACGTCACTGTTTCTGATAACTGGCTTTGTACCCACTGTGGGAACAATGGGCACTTTAAAGAAAATTGCCAGGTCAGGATTCAATCTATTCAGAAAAATAAAGTGTTTGCTGAAAAAGTGACTACAAAAGAGAGACCAGGTTCCACTCACAAAAAGCGCACATTGCCTGCATGGACTAAGAGAGCTCTTATTCATCCTCTTGCTTACTACATGGGACCCAAACTTTCTTAGGTTCCTAAAAATAACTCTTGATCTTCTTGTGCACGAAATAGTGAAGGAAGCGGTCAACAATGGTTCATGGATAGTGGGTATTCAAAGCACATGACTAGGAACACCATGGACTTTCTTTCAATAAAAGCCTTGCAAGGAGGGAGTGTATCCTTTGAAAATGGGAAAAAGGGGTACATTCTTGGAGTTGGAAAAGTCAGAAAGTCACTCACTCATTCTATTGAAAATGTGTACTATGTCAATGGCCTTAAGTACAGTATCTTGAGTGTCTCTCAGATCTGTGATAAAGAAAACAAGGTGGAATTCTTGTCCAAGATATGTATAGTTACTGATCTGGTAACTAGTGAAGTGGTACTTGTGGCCAAAAGATAAAAGAACACCTATGTTGCTGATTTCGAGTCCTTACAAAGTGGTGATCTGAGTTGTCTGAAAACTATTGATGATGATGCCGAACTGTTGCACAGAAGACTGGGAACACAAGTTTTTCTCTTCTGAACAAACTAATTCAGAAGACCTGGTCCATGGTCTGCCCATGTCAAAGTTCAAGGTGGAAAAAATATGTGATGTCTGTGCTAGAGGAAAACATATGAAGTCCTCTTTTAAGTCTAAAAGGGATGTGAGCACCTAAAAGCCACTGGAGCTTTTGCATATGGACCTATGTTGTCTTATGAGAGTGTAAAACATGGGAGGAAAAAGATACATCTTTGTAATGGTGGATGACTACTTTAGATTCACATAGACTCTGTTTCTTAGAACTAAATATGAAACCTTTGAGGTGTTTGTGGCCTTTGTGAAGAAAATCCAGGTGAAGATGGAGTCTAGAGTCGCTTGCATTAGGTCAGATCATGCAACAGAATTTGACAATGCCAAATTTGATGAGTTCTGCAATGAAAATGGCATCACCCACAACTTCTCAGCTCCCAAAACTCCACAGCAAAATGGAGTAGTGGAAAGGAAGAACAGAACTCTGGAAGAGATGGCAAGAACAATGCTAATCGACAGTGGAATTGCAAAGAAGTTTTGGGCTGAAGCTGTTAACACTGCCTTCTATTTGGTGAACAGGTGCATGATCAGATCTATCCTGAACAAAACCCCATATGAGCTGCTGAATGGAATGAAACCCAAACTGACTCACCTAAGAACATTTGGGTGCAAATGCTATGTTCTCAATAATGGAAAGGATCAGCTTGGTAAATTTGATGCCAAGAGTGATGAAGGAATATTTCTGGGCTACTCTTCTTAAAGTAAAGCATACAAGATATATAATAAGCGGACTCAATGTATTGAGAAAAGTATTCATGTTATTTTTGATGAGTCTTATCCATCCCGATAGAAGACTGCTGAAGAAGATCAAGATAGAGAACCCTTACTAGTCCCTAGTGAAGTCATTGACATGGCAAATGGAAAGGCAGATATGATGAATCAAGTAAAAGAGCTGAGTGAAGAGAATACTGTCTCATCTTCAATGGAACAAGCTTCCTCAATTAAAACCACTGAAGCTGAAGAAAGAGTGGTTGATGCAGTTCAGGGTACTCTAATAGCACCTGAGATAAGAACTCGGAAAAACCAGTCAAATGTACCCACACTCTATCTAAATGAACATCAGACATCTAACTGGAGACACAAAAGCTCTCATCCTCTTGACAACATAATTACCCCTCTAGATTCCGAAGTGCAAACCAGGTCAAAAGCCAGAAATTCACTTGCCTTCTCAGCCTTTCTCTCCTAAATAGAACACAAGAATATCAAGGAAGCCTTGAAATATGCAGATTTGATTACAGCCATGCAAGACGAGTTACATCAGTTTGAAAGGAACAATGTCTGGCAACAAGTACCCAGACCCTCAGATCGAACCATTATAGGAACCAGGTGGGTATTCAAGAACAATCTTGATGAACATGGGAATACCACAAGGAACAAGGTGAGGCTAGTGGTTCAAGGCTACAATCAGGAGGAAGGGATTGACTATGATGAAACATTTTCTCCAGTCGCTCACATAGAAGATATTAAATTCTAATTGCTTTTGCATCTCATATGGAATTCACCTTGTTCGAAATGGATGTCAAAATTACATTTCTAAATGGATTTTTTAAGAAAGAAGTCTATGTGAAGCAACCTCCAGGTTTGAATGTCATGAACACCATGAATATGTGTTTAAACAGGACAAAGCATTTTATGGGCTGAAGTAGGCTCCTCGAGCTTGGTATGAAAGGTTGTCAGAGTTCCTCTTCAAAAATGGCTTTAAAAGAGGGAAAATTGACAACACCCTGTTCCTAAAGAAACTAGGAAGGATCAGTTTGGTAAATTTGATGCCACGAGTGATGAAGGAATATTTCTAGGCTACTCTTCTTAAAGAAAAGCATACAAGATATATAATAAGCGGACTCAATGTGTTGAGGAAAGTGTTCATGTTATTTTTGATGAGTCTTATCCAACATGTGAGAAGAATGCTAAAGAAGATCAAGATGGAGAACCCTTACTAGTCCCTAGTGAAGTCATTGACATGGCAAATGGAAAGGCAGATATGATGAGTCAAGTAAAAGATCTGAGTGAAGAGAATACTGTCTCATCTTCAATGGAACCAGCTACCTCAATTACAACCACTAAAGCTGAAGAAAGAGTGGTTGATGCAGTTCACGGTACTCCACTAGCACCTGAGAGAAGAACTCAGGAAAACCAGTCAAATGTACTCACACTCTCTCTAAATGAACCTCAGACATCTAACTGGAGACAAAAAGATCTCATCCTCTTGACAACATAATTACCCCTCTAGATTTCGGAGTACAAACCAGGTCAAAAGCTAGAGATTCACTTTCCTTCTCAACCTTTCTCTCCCAAATAGAACCCAAGAATATCAAGGTAGCCTTGAATGATGCAGATAGTATTACAACCATGCATGACGAGTTATATCAGTTTGAAAGGAACAATGTCTGGCACCTGGTACTCAGACACTCAAATCGAACCATTATAGGAACCAGATGGGTATTCAGGAACAATGTTGATGAACATGGGAATACCACAAGAAACAAGGCCAAGCTAGTGGTTCAAGGCTACAATCAGGAGGAAGGGATTGACTATGATGAAAAGTTTGCTTCAGTCGCTCGCATGGAAGATATTAAAATTCTAATCGCTTTTGCATCTCATATGGAATTCACCTTGTTCCAAATGGATGTCAAAATTGCATTTCTAAATGGACTTCTTAAGGAAGAAGTTTATGTGAAGCAACCTCCAGGGTTTGAATGTCATGAACACCGTGAATATGTGTTTAAACTGGACAAAGCATTGTATGGGCTGAAGCAATCTCCTCGAGCTTGGTATGAAATGTTGTCAAAGTTCCTCTTAGAAAATGGCTTTAAAAGTGGGAAAATTGACAACACCCTGTTCCTAAAGAAACTAGGAAGGAACCTGCTCATTGTTCAGGTCTATGTTGATGATATCATTTTTGGGGAAACAACTGAGTCTCTATGTGAAGAATTTGCAAACTTATGGAAAGTGAATTTGAAATGAGTATGATGGGGGAACTGAACTTCTTCTTGGGTCTTCAAGTAAAACAGCCCCCAAAGGGTACATTTATTTGTCAGCAAAAATACATCAGGGAGCTCTTTAAGATGTTTGACATGGAAGCATCAAAGGTGATAGACACTCCCATTGCTACGGCCACTCGGCTAGACATGGATGAAACTAGGATTCCTATGAATCAAACCGTGTATAGAGGCATTATTGGGTCTCTTCTTTATCTTACTACCCGTAGACCTGATATTGTCTTCAGTGTAGGGCTATATGCAAGGTTTCAATCAAATCCCAAGGAATCTTATTTGAAGGCAGCCAAAAGAATTATGAGATATCTTAAAGGAACACAAGACGCGGTCCTTTATTATCCCTCAGGTGACAGCTTTAATCTTATTGGATATGCTGATAGAGACTATGCAGGATATCGTGTGGACAGGAAAAACACTTTTGGAATGGCTCACTTCCTAGGCTCATGTCTCATATCTTAGGGAACAAGGAAACAAAACTTAGTGGCTCTTTCAACAACTGAAGTAGAATATGTAGCCGCAGCATCCTACTGTGCACAACTTTTATGGATCAAGCAGCAGTTGGAGGACTTTGGGGTACTCACTGAGAGTGTGTCCCTTCTATGTGATATCACCAGTGCACTCAACATGGCCAAGAATCCAGTTCAACACAAAAGGACCAATCATATTGATGTGAGGCATCACTTTCTGAGGGACAATGTGGAGAAAGGGTTGATATGCATAAAGTTTTGTAGCACAGAAGATCAAATTGCAGACACCTTCACCAAGGCATTAAGTAGGGAACATTTTGAAATAAACAGAGTGAAGTTGGGGCTTTTAAAGCCCAATTGAGAACCTGATTTGTCATTATTTGGCTATAAAAAACACCTTCAAAAAAATTGTCTAAAAGTGTTTTTTGGCCATGTCTAACTCACTTCAATACCATTGCAGGTAAACACACATGATGAGTATAGAAGCTGTAGATGTAGTGCATGGATAATAAAAGAGGATTGATACTTTCAAATAACAGGTCAACAACCTGGTTCTTGTACCAAAGGTTAGTAGTTTTGTGCATTCTTTAATACACGTCTTAAAAATGTACAAAACACAACTGCCATGTCATCCAACTTTTTAGAATCTGCTGTCACGTCTCTTCACTTCAAATCATTCAATCTCCCTCTGAAACATTGTACTTCTCCACGCACAATCGTCGTTTCAAAACCGGTGCCTATATCTCTCTTCATAATTATCCATTCTTAATAAACCACCTCTATTCTCCACAAACCATAAGTCCTCTATTAGAACTTCCGAAAGCATCTTCACTCCATCATTCTAATGACTGAGACAAACTCTGACCTCCCTGCCTCAGTCATACCTGCTACTGATAAACCTATGGAGTCCTCCATCCCTACTGAGCCTTCTTTAACCACTTTTACCCTTCCCGCTAAAATCACATCTCACCCAGATTCCCCGTCTCTTTCTATTTCAGAAACCCCTAAAATTGTTGACCCATCCCTTCTTTCTTCTAAGGTTCCCACTAATGAAAAACCAAGTGGATAACAAGGTCAAAACCCTGAGGTCACAAAGGGTTCTGCCATTTTTGCTACAGATTCAGTGGTGGGAGTAGTACCGATTGAGGAAGAAAATGTTGTAACAGTCTTCGTGGTGTTTGCTGATGGTGTACTGCATGAGATCATCTCTAAAAAAATGAGTTACAAGGTATGGGGGATGACGAGGCCATTGTAAATGTTGAAGGCGCTGCACTAGCAGAAACTATTGGGCCCTCACATGAGGAACCTGATCCCTCTTCGGAGGACCCAGGTTAGGGTTCTCATTCCCAGGACAGTTCTTCTCCTTTATTCGCTGTTGCGCCTTTAGACATGCAGACACTTGAGATGAGGTCCAGTGAAGAGGAGGATTTAGACAACCTAGCTCTTGATGCATTCATAGTAAAGCGAAGGGTGGTGTCCACTCCTGAGTCTTCCACCAAGCGACCCACTACTAGGTTGCAAGCTAAGGTGGCCTACGACTATGCCCTTCAAAAGAGAAAAAGGGTTGTAAGAAGCAAAGGTGGAAACTGGTGAAAGATGGTGTGACCGTAAATGATAAGGCGATCCCTGTGGTAGAGGTGGAATAAGATACACTAGATTAACCTGGTTCACTGGTTAGACGGTCTCAGAAAAATAAGCATCCTGCTTCAGTAGAGAAGGTTTCAACCTCTAGCTCCAAGTTGAAGGATGTTGTGAGTGAGTTCTTGAAGTCTGACGAGGATGTGTTAGTCAAAACCAAGGGAAAAGAGAAATCCAGTGGTGAGAAATACGACAAAGGAAAGTCTGAAATTGTTCAGGAACCTGGTTCTATAAAGAGGATAAGAAGTGAAGTCAGCCTTGACTCAGAATGCCTGAGGCACCAAAAAGTTCTGCTGGGTTGTACTTTTGACCCAGCAATCTCTGAGATGGCTGGTATGCGACAAATTCTTGAAATGGTTGAGTTTCAATGATGGGCGCATATATCTCAAATAGATGCACCTAAGGCATATGAGGATGAGGTACAAAGCTTCTTTGCTATCCTCTTTCCCGTTGAGATAGACCACATCTGTACTTTGGTGAATGGAGTAGATATCGTGTTCGATGTAAAGTTCCTTGGAGAAATTCTTGAAGTTCCTATAGCTGGTGTGTCCAGTGTAAAGGATGTGTCTTAGTTTAACTTCAAAAATGTCGTGGTAAAAGACAATGCAAATCAGAAGGGGGACCAGATCCATAAGAATGGTTACTCTCTGTCTATCCGCTGTTGTTCGAATTGGTAAACAAAGTTCTATTGCCTCGAGCTGAGAAGAGCAATGACTTCTAAGTCTAACCTATTCTTGATGGAGCAACTGGATAGCTTTACTCCTGTGAGATAGCCTGCTATTATGATTGAACACATGCAAAAGGTCTCCACCTTTAAAGATGATAATCATGGGCTTCCCTACGGGTTCTTGCTTATGCGAGTGTTTAAATTCTTTGAGGTACCACTGGGGCCATGCCAGGTGGGGACTAAGAAGCAGACCTTCTCACACACAACATTGGAAGAGTGAGAGTGAATAGAAAAGAATAGGGGAGTAGGAAGTACATCAACCGTCTCACAACTTATTAATGCTCAGAACAGTGCAGCTGAGGAGATTCGTCGGTTGAAGGCAAGGAATGCTATCCTGGAAGGTCAGAAAGACCAAGGGGTTCCGGCGTCAAATGATGAAGTAGCTAGTTTGACAAAAGAGAATTCTGATTTCAGGGGACAAGTAGAGAACCTGAAAACAGAACTGCTCAATGAGAAAAAGTCGGCCAGTGTCAAAATAGACCTTGTTCTCCAAACACTTGTTGCAGCTTCCAAGCCCTCTACTCCTAGTGCCCCCTAAGTACCGCTTCAATGACCAGTTTCTGGAAATGTTCTTTTAAGTTTTTTTTGTGTTGTTTGGTAGATGTTTTGTTTTTCTTTTTTTGATGTGGTTGGGATGAAACAGTACTGCTCCCATTTTAACAGTCCAATGCTGCCTTTGCTTTTTTAAGCCAAGGCATATTAAATTTTATTAATATCATATCTATCCTCTTTTATTATCTCATTGCTTAAATTCTATATTTCTTTTCTCTATCATGTTGTGTGCAGATATGTTGCATGAGTTAGCTCGGCAAGACTTTTTTATGCTATTTATCTGTTTGTGTCTTTTTAATGATGCCAAAAGGGGGAATAAAGTCAGGGGGAACACATAAGTTCAGGAAGCAATTCAGGAAGGAAGGCATAAAATCAGGGGGAACACATATATGTGGCATGAGTTCCTGTTTCTTTATCTGGTTCATCTTGCTCTAAATAACAATTTATCTGTTTAAGTTTTTCATCACAAAAAGGGGGAAATTGATAGGTTTATCAATGTCTTTGACTTATGTTTTGATGATCTAACAAACTTTGTCAAGAACCAGATAACGAACCTCATCCTTGGGCTGTACTGTAAGTTAATAGATTCTAGCTCAATGTGAACTGCTATAGCTTCAGGGGATGGAGAACCAAACAAGGACCTGATACCCTTGTTGTTCCTTCATAGCAGTACGAGGTCAATGGGACACAACTGGAAGACGTGGCTGCCTGCACTGCACTGCTTCCAGTGCCCACTTATTCCTTGACCAACTAAAGTGCTTACATCATTTCAAGTGCTGTCACCAAGGTGTATCAACAATGAGTTTATATCAAAACATCACTTGAACATTTCAGTTTCTCATTCAAGCCTTTTGCAAAATAGAGAAATCAATTCTCATGAGCTTGAAGAACAAAGATAAATGCTACTACGGACCAGTTCCTAAAGTTACTATTTTGTTGTCCTTAGTTGAGTTGTAACTTTGTGATTGTTCTTATTGTATCTCCTAAAATACTTAGCCAGATGCATTGATTAGGAATCCTCTTGTAAAATCCGTAAACTCTCTGAGTTTATGTTGTGACTAGGTTTAGTCATAAGTTAAAGTCTTCGTCCCTAGAGAGTGACAAAATGGCTTGTGATGAGAGTATCATAAGTTAGTCAAAGTCTTTGTAACTAGAGAGTCACGAAGTGGCTTGTGGTGAGAGTGCCACAAGTTAGTTGAGTTGAATCCTTTGCAATAGAGTTATTACAAAGTGTCTTGTAATAGGTATTTACAAGTTAGTGAAGTTGAAAGCCTACAGGTGTAGGTCGTGGTTTTTGTCCCCTTGAGTTGGGATTTTTCCATGTAAAAATCCTGTGTCTCACTTACTCACAGTTTTACTAGCATTCTCAGCATAACCTCATAGAGGACCAGGTACTCTACTTTTTGGTGGACTCATACAAACTAACACCATACTGCATCGAACTTCCTCTGAGTCCGTGGGAGTCGAACAACAAAATCCATAGTGTTAAGCTCCTACTTCAACTCAGGAATCTCAATCTGCTAAAGCAAACTACCAGGTCTCTGATGCTCGTACTTTACTTGCTGATAGTTCAAACACTGAGCTACATAGGCAACAATATCCTTCGTCATTCTTCTCCACCAGTAATGCTGCCGCAAGTCCTGATACATCTTGGTGGCCCCTGGATGAATAGAATACCGGAAACTATGGGCCTCCTCTAAAATCAACTCACGAATTCCATCCATATTAGGCACACAAACTTGACCCTACTTCCTCAAAACTCCATCATCTCCAACTGTAACCTGCTTGGCACAACCGTGCCGCACTGTGTCCCTAAGGACAAGCAAATGAGGATCATCATACTGCCGCTCCCAAATACGCTCAAATAATGAAGGCCGAGCGACTGTGCAAGCTAGAACATGGCTAGGCTCAGAAACATCCAGCCTCACAAACTAGTTGGCCAAAGCCAGAATATCCAAAGTAATCGGTCTTTCACCGACTGGAATATACGCAAGGCTGTCCATACTAGCTGACTTCCTACTCAAAGCATCAGCCACTACATTGGTCTTCCTAGGATGATACAAGATGGTGATATC